GACTGAAGTACACCAGACCTAAGTCATTTTCAATCATTTCATATGTCTGTTCACATACAATGAACAATGAAGACTGAGAAAAATGGATGTATTTGAATTATGGTGCTGGTGAAGAATATTGACTATACCATTAACTGCCAGATAAACAAAGAAATGTCTTTTAAGAAATACAGCTGGAATAACAGCAAAGATTTTAAAAAGTAGAGGACAATAAATGCTGGCGAGAATGTGGAGAAACTGGGACACTCCTGCATTGCTGGTGGGATTGCAAAATGGTCCAACCTCTCTAGAAAGCAATATGGCACTTCCTTAGAAGGTTGGAAATAGAAATACATTATGATCCAGTAATTCCTCTACTTGGTATTAACCCACAAGAAATATGAGCCGTAACACAAGTAGATATATGCACACCAATGTTCATAGCAGCACTATTTACAATAGCAAAAAGATGGAGACAGCCTAAGTGCCCATCAATGGAAGAATGGATAAACAAACTGTGGTACATACGCACAATGGAATTTTATGCTACCTCAAAGAACAACAAAGAAGCTGTAAGCTATCACGTAATATGGATGAATCTTGAGAAAATTGTGCTGAGTGAAATCAGTCAGTCACAAAAGGAGAAATACTGTATAAGACCACTACTATAAAAGACTTAAGAAAAAGAAACTATACTAAAGCGGGACGGGGGAATTCTTTGCTTGTTACTGAGATGTGGGGGAATGTGTTAGGTGGGGGAGGGGAGGGAGTGGAAGGTGGAACACAGGGTAGGGAATAGACACAGGATAATTGGGGTGCTAGAGGGGCAATACACAAGAAGGGGGAGGGGAATGGAAGTACAAGGCAGATGGGAAAACAATCAGGTAGGTTTGCATGGGCTAAGTGAGACAGAAGTAAATAATGAAGTATGCACAATCTTGGAACAACAGGGCTCTGGGATACAGGGATTGAAACATGGTTGGAATGAGCAAAAGGGGGGAAATAATGTTAGGATGCTTGGCTGTCTTTTGAATCTTGGTTTCCCTGGCATACCGTTATAAAATATACACTTGAGGGGGAGAGAAAGGAATAGCCAGAAATATCACCATAGAAAGCTTGTAAGTCTGTCTTCTGCCTATAACTGATGGGAATACCTAAAATGGGGCTACAATGTGCCCAGTGAACGAGGCTTCCTGCAGAGCCTCTGAATTATGTAAGACCATAAGTGGAATCCTAAACCCCATCCAGAATCTTCTGAGGTATGAAATTTCCACTTGAAAAGACAAGCAGACCAGCCTGGAGCGGCTAGAAGAACAAAAGATACTTCTTGAAAGAAAGACCCCGACAGGAAAAATACAAAACAATAATGGCAGTACGACTGATTACTACAAGAACAAGCAAGTTGCTGGCCCAGGAGACATCAAGACAAGTGGTCGGTCCCCTCAGGGCAAACCTCTTTCTAAGACTGAGACTCAATGGAAATACATGAGCAGACATATGCTGTGACTGGTGACCGCATTCATCACCAATAAGGGGAAGTGAGGGAAAAAACAGCAATGTAGCTATGAGGTAAGCCCTACCATGTTCAATAGACTCCTGTGAACCCAGGTGGAGACCTGGTTGGCCAGCAGTGTGGCAAGACCTGGGAACTCTTGGACCCAGAGTCAGTGACATAGCCACAGATGACTAGAGTGGAGAGTGAAGCATCCAGCTGATAAGAAGAGAGGGCATATGCATAAGTACACCCACACTTGCAGATAATACCCACTTGACCTGGTTTCAATGACTGGATGATCAGAGCTCAACTAGAAGAAGAAAGAAGAGATAAAAAAGAGTAATCTGATATGATTTGATGAACTTGACCTATACCTATGGATGCAGTAGAGGGAGCAAATCTTTATAGCGAGGATCATTCCCATCCCCTCTATACACCGAGTAGACAGGGATGGGCAACTTGGACATTGGCTATGCAAAAATGGGTGGGGGGGTGGGTGTTACAAAGGCAAGAAGTGACTGGCTTACAAGCTTTCAAGAGGGAGCCTAGATCCAGTGGGTGTGGAGGAAGGTAGAATTTCCACTGAGTAGTATCCAATGTCTGGGCAGGGCTGATGAAAAGAGATGTGGATAGCACTCATGTGGTACAATAGTGAATAATTACTATCAGGACTGACTGTGAGGGTTGGAAATGTAAAGGTGGATGTTTTGTAGCAAAAGGAGGTGAGTGGTTGACTTTGCAGTCCGGGAGCAGAGGTCCCTGGGACCATCAAGGGTGAAGAGCAGATTGTAGGACCCTACCCAGAGAAGCGCGTAGTGGTTACGAATCGGGCTGCGAACCTTAAGGTCAGCGGTTCGAAACTACCAGATGCTCCGCGGGAGAAAGATGAGGCTTTCTACTCCCGTAAAGATTTACACCCTCGGAAACCCTGTACAGGGTCGCTATGGGTCGGAACCGACTCGACGGCACTTAACAACAACAACAACCCAGAGAAGCAGTGACACCAGAGATGGAGGCAGAAATGATGATGTGGAGAGATGCAGTGGCTGGGGACTCTAGACCCAGAGAGGGAGAGGGGCTGTATGCTGATGACTGTGGGGCAGGCTTGCAGGGTATACCCTTTGGTTGGTTGATGATGCATGGAGGGGATTGTAATCATGACAATGAAACACTATGTGATAGGATGAATGTAAAACTAATGTTCTCCCATGTAAACTATCACATAATTCACAATAAAACATTAAAAAGATAAAGAAATACAGCTGGCATGCTCCTTAAAAATAAGGCTAGAGATACTTTGTCATTTGTATCTGGACATATCATTAGGAGGGAAGAGATCCTGGAGAAGAACATCATGCTTGCTAAAGTAGAGGGTCAGTGGACAAGAGGAAGGCCCTCAATGAAATGGATTGACACACTGGGTTCAAACACAACAACTGTGAGTCTGGTGCAGGACAGGGCACTGCTGTAGGTACACAGGGTCACTATGAGTCAGAACGGACTCAACAGCACCTAATGTTGTTAAGTACCATCAAGTTACTTCTGACCCATAGCAATCCTGTACAGGGTCTCCAAGGAGCGGCTGGTGAGCTGGAATCGCCAACCTTGGGGTTCAAACTGACCTTGCATTCCAGCGCATTAACCCACAGCACCTAATAACAACAATATTAGTAATGGACATACGCCTCAAAATAGTTTCAGTTATTACTTGATGCTGCTTATTTAAATCAAGCTTCAGGCACTGATCCTGAATTGATTTGTAATTGAAACCATCCCATGTTTTGTTTTACCCTCCCTCTGCTACCACTCAATTTTCTCCAGGCATTTTTGTAAAAGCTTTCCTTTACAAACACTACTGGGTGAAGAATCATAACAAGCAAATAAAAAAGTGAGCCCATATCTAATTATCCAGCAAACTGCTTTCTTTCTTTCTTTTTTTAAGTTGATGTATTTTTATTCATTAAAAGCAAAAAATAGTAAAAATTCTTCTTTGGGCAGAGAGAAAAACAGAGCCCAAAGGACAGGAGTAGAAGAACACAGAGAGGACAGGAACATCATGTGCCAGAGTTACTGAGGAGGTAAACTTGTTTTATAATAGGGCAAAGTGTAAACGTTTCCAAATGAGAACCCATCAGAGTTGGTTTTTTTCTAAATGACAAAGAAAATATAAAGGTAATAATATTGAAACAGCAGTGGTAGTGGTCGTTATATGTCACGGAGTTGGTTCTGACTCATAGTGACCCTGTATAGAGTTTCCAGGGCTGTAAATCTTTACAGAAGCAGAAAACCTCATCTTTCTCCTGCGGAACCGCTGACAGTTTCAAACTGCTGACCTTGAGATTAGCAGCCTGTCTGGTAAGCACTAGGCCGCTTAAAATAACAGCAAAGATTTCAAAAGGTACACAAAGGCACTCAATTTACAAAAGCTTTAGAAGAAAAACCTGCTCACACGAGGCCATCGTAATTCCATTCTGGGTGACTGAAGCAGAGAATCAAAGGGCAGATATTAACTGTCATTCCTCTAAGCTCTTAGGATACCAGCGAACATGGTGGCTCTGTACAGTAAGCACTGGACTGCAAACCACTAGGTTTGCAGTTCGAGACCACGAGTCGCTGCTAGGGAAAAAGAGGCTTTCTGCTCAGTACCATTTACAGGCTTTGAAGTCTTACACAAGGTGGCTGAGTAAGAACCAACCTCAAGGCACTTAACAATTCAGGATATCTAGCAATACCTTCTCTAGAGTATAGAGCACATTGTGTCAGTTTCTGTATGCCTTTTCACTAGCCTGTAAAATCCCTGAAGATCAGAACCTGGCTCCTTTCAACTACCCATCCACAGTTCCTTATAATAATTATAATAAAGTGGCAATTAATGGGTGCCCTTCAAACCCACCAGCCACTCTTCAGAAAGTCTATACTAGGTCGCTATGTGTCAGAACCAACTTTGATGGCATTCAACAACAATTCCCTTAGGTTGAGCATTTAAAAATATTAATGACCTCTCAAAATCCTACAAGGTAAACATATAGACAGCTCAAGAGGTCATGAATCTGACCCATGCTGAGTAGATGTTCCGTAATAGGTCAATAATTGAAGTCCCACAAGGTAGGTGCACAACTTGTACCGAAAAGACTACGATGCGGTAAAACTGAGTAAGAATAGAAATTAAAAACATAGAACATAAATTAACTCAATAATCTGTGGGATTTTTTTAACGGTCATCCTCAGGCAGGGGAAAATGATTCCTATAGAGAGGCAGGGCAGCTCAAAAAGTACACAGCCAGCCACAAAAGCATACCGCTGGGGGAGCTATTAGACGGATTGGAAGGGGAAAATCCCAGGGCCCTCCAATCCCTCCACCTCATCAAATTGGCCTTATGCCCACCCTGCCACAACTGCAAGACCATGAGGAAGAAGAGCGCGCAGCCCGTAGGCTGCACACACGTTATAAGGAAACGGCCCGCCTGCACATCCCTCCCAGACCAAGGCGATTTACAGGGAAGGCCTAGGATGGGCGGCCGGGTACCTAGCTCGGCCACGGTAGCTGCGCAGCCGGACAGTAGGAACTTGCTCGCTCGGGGCCATCTCTGGACGAGCGGCAAAAGCTTCTCATCCTCCGGGACAGACATTCAGCAGCTGGACAGGAAGACAATATGCCCCTTCTCTCCAGCACCCCGAAAGGTTTGCCACCCTGCCAGGGCGGCCCCTCCTCAATCTGTGAGCGGCCAGGTGGAAACCATTTCCCACAGTCAGCTTGGCCAGGCCAGGCAAAACCGCAGCTCTTCCTACTAGCACCAAGATCTAGTGGTCCAGTCTCCCCCGTACCCGGGTGAGGAAAACAAGGCGGAACCCGTGAGATTTCTGGGGAATGTAGTCTGCAGGCTCCACGCCTCTCCGGCCGCATTCTTTGATTGGCCTGAAGCTAGGCAGCTCCCCCGGTCTCCAGGGTAAGAAAAGGAGTTTCTCTCCTGCCCCCACCCACTCCTGGCTTGGTACAGCCCTTGCATTGTTTCCAGGGTCCTGACTAGACGTAAGCGAAGGGAGTTGGCCTGGAGCGGTAATGTAAAACATCATCCATAAATTGAGGCGGGGAAATACCCATAGAGTTGTAGAAGATCAATACCTGCAGCAGCGGTTGCAGCAGAAAGTTTAAGAGGCCTGGCGAGTGCTCTATTTTATAGGGAGAGAGTAAGTGCAAGAGCAGTAGGATTTTTTTTTTTTTTTCTTTCTTTTCTGATTCTAAAAGACGCTGGACAAAAAAATGGAACTAGTTTCCCCAGCTGTGATTATATTATTGGGCTGCATTGCGCTTTTATTACTCCTTCAATGGAAGAACTTGCGTGGACCACCATGCATTGGTGGTTGGATTCCTTGGATTGGAGCTGGATTTGAGTTTGGAAAAGCCCCTCTAGAATTTATAGAGAAAGCGAGAATTAAGGTATGTGACTGTGTATATGGGGTTTCCGGACATGTTTTCTTGTTTTATTTTCTTTCATTGGTGGGAGCGAGAGGGAATGGGGATATATATATATATATATATATATATACCTGATGCCCAGTGACTTCACTGCTGCAGAACGCACCCCACTGACACTTTCAGAGGAGGTGACACCAAAAAATGACCCCAGATCCACGCAGCATCAGCTGCAGGGACATTGGACGAATTGGAAGAGTCTTGGCGCAGTAGGGAGAGGGGCTGATGCTGCCAAGAGAGTGGCATCAATAGGGTTGGCTTGTAACCTTTGTTCCCTCGGCTGTCTAGGTGTCAACTATTGGGCAGTAGAGGAAGGACTCTGCCTTAGCCAATGGGAGAAGGGAGGAGTTGAGAGGTGCCCTGGGTTTCACGTCAGAAAGAGTGGCAGCAATGCTTGGCCCTGGGCCCTGTGGGGGTAGAGGTGGGCTAGGCAGGGCCCGCGCTGTGCACCAGTGCATGGGTTTGTCCCAGGCCAGCCCCATTCATGGGGTGCGTGACATGGGCAACACTAACCCTAGTGACATCACTGTTGGAAGTCCCCAATGAAATGATATCATCATTTACAAATTTCGTGAGTAAAAATCAACCACTATGTCCTCCGCTGGACTCCTGGTGTGGCACTGTAGAATCAGCACTGGACTGGGAACCACAAGGTTGGCTGTTCAGACTCACCAGCTGCTCCTTGGACACCCTCTACAGGGTCTCTATGAGTAGGAACCATTTCGAAAGCACTTAACAACAATGTCCTCTACAAAGTTTTACAAAAGAAATAGATTATTAGTTACGCATCTGCTTTTTTTGGAATCTTTTTCTAAGAAATCTAAAAATTCAGGCTTTAGTCCAAGAGGAGGATAGCTTGCTTTTAATTTTACTTTTTCTGCTTTCTCTGAACTAGTCACTTTATCTTCCTGGTGGGATGTCTCCAGACATAGTGGTCCCTCTGCCTGCACAGTGGTCCTTCTGTGGACACAACGCTCCCTATGCAGACACAATGCCAGGGAAAGATGCAATTACAGGGTGGATGCTGCCTTTCAGCCACCACGGAAGCTTCTGCTCGGCCTGCTGCCCGCCGGGGTCCACCCACGCCCCTATTTTGTCTCTTGACTTTAATCTATTTACAATCAGTGTAATTATCAATAGGTGTGAATTGATTTCTGTTGCTAGTTTCTTTGACCCACATAAATTTCTGCACTGAGTTAATTTTATTGTGAATTTTCTTTTCTTTTCTTCATTGGTGCTATTTCAGTATTTACTAAATCGGTCTATTTTTCCTCTTTTTTATTCTGATTTGAAGCTGTATTCATTTTCTTTGAGTTATCCAGTAATTTATTATTTCCCCCTCATTTAAACCAGTCTGTTTTATCTGGAAATCTACTTAACTTCCTCACCATTTAGAAATTCTGTATCTACTCTATTTCCTCATTTTGCTTTATGTTGTTGTTTGTTGTTGAGTGCCATCGAGTCGGTTCCGACCCATA